AAGCAATTAGTATAATATTTCGAAGTAGTAATTATGCAGAAACAAAGTCTAAAACCTAAAATGTACGAATTTTTGGTGACTCACTCAAGCAGAATTATATATAGGAAAGAAAAAAAAAAGTTGCACTCGAGTGGGTCACCTCATCCTGGCAATCAAAAGGCCGCAGAGCATCAAAAATATATAAATAGGTAGCAGTATAATTATAAGCAGCTTCCTCATATATACCTTGCATTGAATGCAGTAAACAAACTTATTCTGAATATGGATTTTGCGATCCACATGCTAGAAAGCACCATAAAAGAGAACAGTACTATTGGAAAAAGCAGGCTAAGTTAGCTTCGGCGGAGGCAACCAAACAGATGCAAAAAGATAAACACCTCGATATAGAATTTGGCACCCAAACAAGTGCAGAGATGCAGTAACTATAGTATAAAACTTGGAATTAAAAGAAGTATAGACAACTTGTATTCTCAATATAGAACCAGGCATCCAAACAGGTAAAGAAGGGAGTAGGATATCATTATATAATATCCCACTACAATAACTTGTCAACCAAGAAGTAATCTAAAACTGGTGAACTAATAGAACCTTTCTGGTTTCCTACCAGTTTCTTGCCAGTGCCATGATAGTTCTAAACACTATCAGATCACTATTATGGTGCTAAGTTGGATCCTCAAATTACGTGTTCTAAAGATCAGCCAGAATTATGCCATGGAGCTAGCCAAAATTAACCATGAATTTACTGCATCATCTGACACGATATTTTTTTTTGTATTTGACAAGCAACAAAATAGGCACAGAAGGTAAGTACCTCAATATAGAATCTAACATCCAGACTGGTACAGAGAACCAGCACCTTCAACATAGAACTGGGCATCCAAACAGGTACAGAAGACCAGTATAAACAATATAGAATTTGATGTGTAAATAGATTAGGAACAAGAAGGAAATAGCAATATTTAGATTACATGCTGGTAGTTAGATTAAATAGTAGGTAGTAGTTAGATCATATGGTGTTAAAATATAAATATTAGAAAAAAGTTCAAAGAGATAGCCAGAACAAAAAATAGATATCTGATATAAAAAATATATAGATTATATAGTAGTAATTAGATTCCATGTTTAGATTATATACTGTTTATTAGATTATATTATTTAGATCATATAGTAGTACTTGAATTATATAGTGCTATTCAAACTATATAGAGATATCTAGATTATATAATGATATTCGGATTATATAGCGGTATCTAGATTATATAATCTAATCTAAGTGGGATACCACCTATAAGATAATTATATTATAGGTGGTATCCCACTTATCAATATAAATTTCAATTGGCTTAAAAATTTAAACCTGGTAATAAGAATTTCTATTATATTGAATATATTTAAGCTATAACTAAAAACTATAATTTTTGATAAAAGTAATATTTACTAAAGTTATATGTCTTAATAATATTATTAAATTTTAAATATTTAAATATTTAAATATTTAATAAATTTTTATCTAAGAAAATAAATTTATTATATCTGTTGCACTTTTTCAAAATTCTATAACTTGTAATTTATTATCACTATATTTAATTTAAAACAAGATCTTTTGTTTGTTAAATTATTTTTATTATTAATATATTGATACCTGTAATTAATAAAACTTACTTTACTGATGTTTATTTTGTAAACATAGCATTTCAATGACAACAATTCATCAACATGTTATTTCACTGACATCTATTTTCTATTTCACTGACAGTTTATTTACCAAAACTCATTTTACTGACAAAATAATTCTGGTTATTGTCATTAAGATTAGGTTAGAATTAAAGTTAAGATTAGTGAAATTTATAAAAAAAATTTGTTTATTAAATGAGCTTTGGTGAAATAAATTGTCAGTGAAATAAACTTGTCGACGAAATAATTGTCGGTGAAATAAACATGTTAGTGAATTTTTGTTGGTGAAATGATATGTTTATGAAATAAGTATAAGTAAAGTGACATGTATCCCATAAAGTTCTAGTGGCTCACATCCGATTTCATTTGTTGCTATTAGATTTATTAAAAAGATAAAATTATTGTTATAAAAAGTATAAACTTCTGTATATAAATTTGAAATTAGCGATTTGAAATAAAAAATATCATTATAAATTATACAATAATTGGGGGCCCCACAGCAAAAGGTGGTGATGGGCCAAAAAAAATTTTTGTAAAAACTTCATTTTTGCAAAAATTAGATCATTTAAAACACAATATCAAAAAACTACAAAAAAAAATTTTTTGGCCCATCACCTTTTGCTGTAGAGCCTCCCAATTATATAGCTAAATTTTAATGTTAATTC